ATTAAGAATCGAGCGAGGTCATTGAGAGGCGTAAAGAGAACGGTTTTGTTAGGGTGTGGGCTCAAAATCCCAAGTGGAGTGAATTCAAGAAGGGATGAGAGAGAGGAATCGGAGACAGCCAGTATAGACCGCTCTTTTGTGGTGTTTTGCTGTAAAGGGGATGGGAGCGCCGAGGCAGTAGCTGGGGAAGGAACAAGACCAGGAGTTTCTCAACTCAAAAGGGGGCAGGAGGCCTTCTGGGCAGGGTCAAGGAAAGGTTGCCGTCATTGTGTACAGGGCACTTCATTGTTCCTAGGTGGGGGGGGGCATTGTTCCTCCTCCTGCTGGTCTGACCCTGCCCTGGGTTGACCCCTTGACGCCCCGTTGGATTAAAGCTTGACTTCCTATCTGTCATGTTCTTTTTTTTTTTTTTGAGACAGAGTCTCGCTTTGTTGCCCAGGCTAGAGTGAGTGCCGTGGCGTCAGCCTAGCTCACAGCAACCTCAAACTCCTGGGCTCAAGCGATCCTACTGCCTCAGCCTCCCGAGTAGCTGGGACTACAGGCATGAGCCACCATGCCCGGCTAATTTTTTCTCTATATATTAGTTGGCCAATTAATTTCTTTCTATTTATAGTAGAGACAGGGTCTCGCTCTTGCTCAGGTTGGTCTCGAACTCCTGAGCTCAAAGGATCTGCCTGCCTCAGCCTCCCAGGGAGCTAGGATTACAGGCGTGTGCCACCACGCCCAGCTGTCATGTTCTTTATGCAGCTCTCCGTGAAAGCTCTGTCCTCTCTCTTCCTGGATCCCTCCCTTTCCCTTGTCTCATCTGGCCTTTTTCTCCCTGTTTCCTCAACGTGCCCTCTGGCTCCACACCAGCTGCCCCAGCACTCCCCCATACCACGTGCCTTCCCCCACCCCCAATTCCTGGTGTTAACGAGCCCCCCTGTAATTCTCTGGAAACTTTGGGGAAATACTTAACCCCATTCATCTCCAATTAGACTCCCAAGCTGAAGGTGATGAGGGCACTTCTCAGTCCACAGTCATTTTGTGGGTAGGAGGCATTTCGCCATAGAAGAAGAGATTTCGGGAAGTGCTATCAGGTGAGGGAGGATGCACGATGATGTGTTTTTAGAGACAGAGAGGAAGGGACAAATCCAAGATAATTTCTAGGGAAGAACTGCCTTGTCAGCAGTTGGGTAACAAATATGTAATGTCAAAACCCTTAAATATGGCACATCCTTTGATCTAGCAATCCACTTCTAAGAATTCATCTAGAAAAAACGTAGCCATTCAAGGTACCAAGAGTATATAATAAATGGATGTTCATAACAGAATTAGTCGTAATGACAAAATACTGAAGACATCCCAGTGTCAATAACAGAGGGCTTCTAAGTGTACCATGGCACATTTATACTGTGGAATATCATGTAATCATTACAATGGTGACGTAGAGATGAATAAATACTATCAAGAAAGGTATTTTTAATACAGTAAGTGAAAAAAGCAGGTTACACACATAAAACCTGTGTGTATATTGATATATTTATATAAATAAATGTACACTTAAAGAGATTATATCTCCGTGGCAGTGATTATGCAAGTTTTCTGTTTTACTTCTTAATGTTTAATAACTTGTTTAATTTAAAAAGTGAGAACAAATGATCTGCCAAGAGGTGACAGTTAAAGGGAGGGGAATAGATAAGATTGCCCAGGCAACAGATTGTAGACAGAAGCTTGGGAACGTCCACATGTAGGGAGTGAAGAGGATGAGAAACCAGGAAAGAAATGGAAGAAACAGTGAGGAGGAAAAGGCAGGACGATCCTCCCAGAAGACATAAAAAGAGGCTCCCAGGAAGGGCTTGACAGTCCCGACCTCTCTTCCTGTCCACATCCAGGAAGCGATTTCTTTGCAGCTAGGAGTAGCATGTGGTCACCTCTAGCCAGTGAAATGCTGGTGGAGAGGAGGGCTTTTGGAAAAGATTTTTCTTTTCTGATGAGAGAAGCATGCGGAGAGAAAACTTCTGTCCTGTGTTGCTCCTTGCTTCCTGCCTCTAAATGCAGTTGTATAAGGATGTGATGCTTCGAGCTGCTGTGGCAGCCAGACTGTCATCATGAAGAGAAAGGCCAAGGGAAATATCAGCCCAGAGCCTTGTCTTTTTTGTTAGATAATGAGACACATCCATGTCACATAAGCTGTCCTTTGTTGGACCATCTGTTACTGTAGCTCAAGTCATTCTTAACTGATACAGAAAATAGGAATACAAAGTTGGTGAACTTTGAGTTTGGCAGATCTATGACATCACATAGGGGATGTGTACTTATACCAGAGCTGGTATAAGTACATCACTCATGGCAAGTGCTGGCACACAATAGGCATCAGAATGACTGGACAGCTCCATGGTGGACGCTGCAGATTGCCTTTTAAACATCCCTGCTTTCTCCTTCCTAACAGAACCTCATTTTGGTCCAGGTATCCTTCCCTCCTAAATGAGGAAATTCAGGCTAACAGAGCTTAAGTGGCATTTCTGAGGTCTCACAACCTCGTGTCACAGGCATTTGAATCCAGGTCTTCTCATTGCTTGACTATAGCTCTTTTTAATTCTCTCTCCTTCTTGGATGAATTAGTACATTTATCCACCACAAGGTACTTAGAACATAAAAGTTCTAACCTGTAGTCTGCTTCTCCCCAAGGGAGTGATCCAAAAGCGAGACAGAAGCCACAAAGGTTTTTATGACCTAGCCTGCGATGTGACATACTATCACTTCTGCCATATTCTATTGGTCACACAGACCAACCCTGATAGAGAGGGGAGAGGCCACCAGGGTGTGAATACCAGCCTTAGCTCACTGGGGGCATTCTTGGAAGCTGGCTACCACGAGCAGCTTAGCATTATTATGAAAATAGTTTTGACATTATGAATCTCCTGAAAGTGCCTGGGGACCCCAGACCATACTTTGAGACCAATTTATGTAATTTACACTACTATTTTGAAGATGATTCTCAGATCTGCCTCCCTTTTGCAGATTCATGTTTGTCAGATCTGATTATAGAAACAAGCAAGCCACAAGGAGCCAGAGACTCTTCATATGCCCAGTGTTTTGCCTCTGACGATGCCTGAGTGAGGGTTCTGGAAGTGTAGTCCTCTAAGACAGACTTCAGTGTCACTTGGCCGTTCAGAACATCTCATCATGGGTTTTTGCTTCTACAGATTTAACTTTAATTTCCCGTATTTTTCAATCTGAACCAATTTCTCAGCTCATTCCACAAGTTACCCATATCATATAACTTCTTTCATGTGTCCTAAAAGGCTGTGGCTAAGTGTTCCTGAGACAGGCTTGATTTCCATATGCTAAGGCTTGGCAAATACATCCACGTACAACTCATGCAAACACTCTCCGTGACTTCTGAGACACTAATCTTTGTTCCCTTTCAGAAGAGTCCTGGTATTTTTAGCGTGTGACACAGTTGTGCTATGTCCCCATGGTCACATTGGCCCCCTCTGGGTGGCTGCCCTTGGCTGGCAGAGCTTCAGCACATAGCCGGCATTCAGATACACTGAAGCTTATACTGGGACAGGACAACAGTGTTACATTTCCCAAAGTGTGTTACAGTAACTCTTCAAGTCCAGTGGACCACTGAGTTTTTATCAGTCCAGCTTCCTTTTCCTTTTTTGAAAAACCAGGTGGATCTGTGGATCTTTTCCTCTTCATGTAGAAGACACCCCTCCCCTGGCCTTTCCTCTCCCACTCCCTTCAGCCAAAGCGATTAGTCCAGGTTAGGCCTGCCAGGGTCTGGAACTGTTTCCAGGGAAAGCTAAATAGAAAGGCCCTCTTACCTCCACAATCTAGGCAGAGAACTGGAAGAATGAGGCAGGAGCTGCCTGCAGCCACATTTCCCATTGCTGTATTCAGTAGGTGAAAATGTAGCCAAACAAAACCAACAGAGCCAAGAATAAGACAAATACAGACCCCAAGAAAGCCTGAGTTTGGATTCACTCCTGCCTGAGGCTAGTTCCAGCTCTCTTTGGTATGTCTCAACAAAAGCAGTAGTGTTAGGTTTCTGCCACTTAATCATTGAAAGGGCCCTAACACAAATGACTCTTTGGGCCATAATCACATTGTGAGGGATCAGCTCCCTGCAGAAGCATGTGTTGAGAGAGAGTAACACAGGGCTGGGAATGCAGTGAAGATCTAGAAAGAGGACCGGGAAGGACGGGCCAGCCGAAAGGCAGGTGAACCAAGGAACAGCATTTCATGGAAGCTGAAAATGGAGTGGTCCTAATTGGGTGGTGGGAAACCTCCCACGGACTTGGTGGCACTACAAATTGGTACTCCGGGAAGGCAATTAGGAAGTCTAAGCTTTGAAATGTTCCTGCTCTTTGAGCCAAAATTTCTACTCAAAGCAGCATTGTTTGTTGTGGTAAGAAGCTGGCAATAATCTTAAATATTTGCATCACTAATAGGGGATTGGTTAAACAATTTACGGAAACATGTTCAAGTTCTAATTTAAAGGGGGAAAAAGGTACATGACTATGTAAAGCAGCAGTCCCCAACCTTTTTGGCACCAGGGACCGGTTTCATGGAAGACAATTTTTCCAGGGACGGTTGGGGGAAGAGGGGCTGCGGAGCTCTGCAGCCTGGTCCCTAACAGGCCACAGACTGGTACTGGGTCTGACAGTCCCATGGCTGCAAATCAAGACACATTACACATATATTATATAATGTTTCACTTTTGCTTTTAAAGACACATGTGCATTTCTTTTGTTATCAGAATAAGACATTTTATTTTTAACAGAAAGAATGGTGAAATAGCCAACAGTAATCAATTCAGAGGGTCATGGAGTTAGGTTATTGAGAAAAAAGGGAAGAAGTGGTATCTTTGAGAATTGGGTGGGAGGCAGATGGTAAGTGGTTAAGAGTGGAAAGGAGAGTATGAGACGTTGAAGCAGTGAATATAAGCCTCATTTGAGAAGCAAATGGCAAAGGAAGGAAGGAAACAATGAACGGCCAGAACAAGCATATGCCACACGATTCAGAATAAAGTTTATTAAATAATATGTACAGCAAATGTAGTAATTCAACACATTTATCAAATCCACTGCAATAAAGAAAAATAAATGAACAGAAAAATCTATGTCTGCATAGTACATGCTCTCAGTGTGTAATGTAAATGGCAATACTTTAAATTAATTGGTTATATATAACGTCAGTTATTTTTCTTTCAGAATATAATCTTTTGTAGTAACCTATTCTAGCAATAGGACTTAATGGTACTGTAGATAAATAGGACTGCCAAAAAAAAAAAAAATCAAACAAAATTCCCCCCAAAAATAAAAATTAAGAAAAAAAAAGGATAATTGAAATTATAACTACCTTCTCCTCCCAAAAGAATAATTATTGTAAATTTTAACACTTTACAATGGCTATTTTTGTGCTAAAAATCTTCAGGTGAGTTATTTGGAATTCCTTCATTTAAATAAAAATGCAAAAAACTTCATGACTTCCTTACTTTACCCCCCTTCCATTCAAAGTTTTAAAATTATTTTTCTATACAAGGTAGGTACATGGGCTATACAAAGTTAAATATACATATTTACAGTCCCACTTCTTAAGCACATGATTTTTTTTTTCTTTTACTGATCCCAGAGAGACTGCAAAAGATAAGTAGTTTGGGCTTGCCTTTACCCGGAAGCATGGCTAGTATATCAAAATTGTTGCAAGGCATGCCGCCAGTTAGTTGCACTTGCTATTAATAAACCAGTATAAACATTTCAGCATAAAAATAGGTACTTTATATTACTAAATGTCTGAAGACAAAAGAGCAATTGGAAACCTGTGTTCCTTGTTTTGTCATATATAGGAAGCTGAAGTGATGCAAATTTTAACACATGACTTTATTAAAGACGGGCAGATCAGTGAGGCATACCTGGATTTCTGGAGATATACAAATGCATGAGGCTGGCATCATATGCAAATGTGGCTTTACAAATTGGTTTTATTTTCTAGCTGTATTTAAGGAGGTGTTCAAAATTACCTACTTAATCAAGAAGCACCCCTCAAAAAACTGTTAGATAAGATAGTGTTATTAATGGTTTGCATCTAAGACAGACCGGGAAACGCATTAGCCAATACATTCCAAAATGGGTGAAATGCTGCCGTGCAAAATGCACGTTAATATGTATTTTTACTATATTCCCTCGGAGAGAGAAAGTCAAAAACACAGTGCTCTTGGACAGTGGAGCAGACCTTCCAAAGCAATAGGTCTATTGTCACTGGGTCCTGAGGACAATCAAAAAGGCTCTTTCTACCCAGGAAGCTCCCTTGACCCCTCCAGTTCCATAAGCCTTTTCCCTTGAGGTTTCCTCTGGCCTAGACAAAAACAAATGTCTGTGGGAAGACTAACACATTCCTCTTATCAGTCATTTACACTTTAGTATGAATGAATCAGTGGCAATTTTTTTCCTGAGAACAGGATTTAAAAGGAGGATAGGGAGAAAAAGTGAAGGTTTTGTGGCTATCTGGTGGGGGGTGGGAAGCTGGTGGGATCCTAAGATGGGCATCTGAGCAGCTGAGGCACAGGCACTGAGACAAATTCTGCTTACTTGTGAAGACAATGGTGCTGGGGTAATTCTGAGCTATATGCAGACAGCCAGTGGTTTTCCTGTACACGCCCCTACCCCCCAGAACAGCTATTTGTGACCTCGGATGAGTATTTATGAAGAAGTCGAGAGCCTGGAGCTCTGGACAAAGTTCCAAGTATTTCCAGCCATGATCCACCCTCAGACAAAGGTTCTTCCAGCATCCTAGATTTTCAAAAGTGAGCTAATAGAGACAGAAATATGACAATGCTTTCTAGGATCCCTCCAGGGAAAATTCATCTCTTCTTCTTTCACACCCTTCTTAGCACATACCACAGTCTCTCTTGATTAAGTTCCTTTTTCTGTGGCTGTCTCCCCCATAACCACTGAGTTCCTGGTGGGCAAGGAATGGGTCATTTCTATCTTTGTCTCACTAAGGGGTCCAACAGAGAGCCCAACAAACATCCTCAAGCTGGACAGAGTTGTAACTAAGCACCCCGAGCATCGGAGGGGCCTCCCTCCTCAGATCTGCCCCCACAAAGGACAGGCCTCCTGGTCACTGCTGGTGGCAGCAGGATCGCTGCTTCCCTCTGCAGAGAAGCCTCACCAGGCTGCATTTGGGTTCACAGCCCTGTGAATTTTGGGTGGTCCTTGAACTCTTTCAGAGAGGGAGACGGGAGACTTGGCGAGGCCCTTCAGTCTGGGGCAAGTCCTGCCCCTGGGTCTCCCCAGCAGCCAGAGCACATTGGTGTATGTCAAATGAATCCCTGGACACCATTCTTGGTTTTCTATGAAAATAGGCCTATCAATTCCAAACTGTCCCACCAAACACAAGCCAGAAAAGAAGGGTTAGTAATGAGGCTCTGATAAATGAGGCTGCACTGCCCTGAAGGTGGCCATCTATAAAAGCCAGCGATATGGGAAAGCAATGCACTGCAAGTGGCCTCGAGGGCTACAGGGCCGCTTCTTGACTTAATCACTTGGAAATACAAATGTAACCTATCTGCCTGGCCATCTGCTCCCAGCTCTCACGGGCAAATCTTGTGTGCTTTTCCGTCTGAACACCACGGCAGTCAGTGGCGGCGCTGCATAGCAGGCTGCATGCACTGGGTGCCATGTTCTACCTCCATTTCCCCACCCGTACCTCAGCAGGTCCAGAGAGGGAGGTGGTCTTAGGCAATCTGGGGAGCTCCACCTCTGCCTGGGGACAGCTTCTGCACTCCAGACTGATCTCCAGGAGTGCTGGGGGGTCAGCTGGCTCCAGGGCAACGGGGGACTGGAGGCCAGGCAGTCGGTGGATTCTCAGGCTCGAAGCCTCTGAAAAATGGCTGGGGAACTGCCTGGCACCTTGAGGGTTGCTTCAGGCTCGATGACCCCTTTGAGACAGGAGCTGGTTAGGGCTGGGGCAGCAGGAGGCATTTCCGGCTAACTCTGCTTCTGGACTGTGCTCCCGGTCAGATTACCCAGGAGGTGGAGGGGAGGGGAAGGCTGATGTGGCTCCAGAAGCAGCTAAGTAAATGCGATTTGCCTCAATTCTTTTTGCTCAGCACACCATTCGACCCTGTCTGATACACAGAAATGTCAGACAGGCTTGGATTTCAAACAACACTCCTCTGTTCCTCTCTTTTACTTCTTACTTTATCCATTGCATTAATTTTCCTACTGACTCAACTAAAGAGATCGGTTTGCAAATTATGCTTTATCCTCCAATAAAAATAATCTCCGAAGTTTTCAATCTTCTTATAGATACAAAGGTTTTACATAGTTGCCTGGAAAAGTACCAAACTGCCTCGTCCTTCTTGAAGTACCTATAAAACAAAAAAAAAACAAAAACACATACATAAAATAGGAAGACTAGCCCATGTGAGCTTAGAACTCCTGCTGTACATATTTGTGCTCGAATGTCCCTTAGTAACAAAGCTGCAGCTTGTAGAATAGCATATGGTTTCCAAAGCACTTTCTCCTATCTTATCTCATTTAGGCTGCAAAATAGTGCTGGGTGGTAAGCAAGGCAGACATCTCTTCTATTCTTGTTTTTCAGAGGAAGAAAGCCAGGCTCCAAGAGCTTAAGTAGCACTTCTGAAGGCCCACAGCTTAGTAAGTATCAGAGGCAGAATCTGAACTCAGGTCTTCTGACTCCCAGCCCATTGCTCTTTCCAACACTTCTCCTTTTTGGAGGAATTATAATAGTACATTTATCCAGTACAAGACAATACCCAGGATTTAGAATTTCTAATCCATACAATTTCTAAAAGCCCACTGACTATGAGTACATGTCAAAGGAAAATTCCTCAGAAGCCTGTGCCTAAACCCGAGTTGACCCCCTGGCGTTGCTACCAGTCTTGGGGTTCACACCGAGCCAGGAGCACTGAGCCATCTGGGAATGAAGCCCCCCCTGGGCTACTCCACATCCAGAGCTGCTGGATCCCTCTAATCTAGTTCCTCCCCTTGGGATTCTCTCTCTAAAAGCAGGGGTGGCAGATACATGTCGTGTCATTGTTATCTTCTCATTAGCACACATCACAATTTGATCATTTTTCCCAATTAGCTTGGATTTGGATTCAGAATCCTGTTGAACTCAGCATCTCAAGCAGCCACTACTAGTGGGTTGGAATCATCGCCCCAAGTGAAACTTGTAAGCCAAAAGAATTTGTCAAAGCTAAAGACACCCAAAACATCTAGCTGAACTCCTAGGGAGACTGGTGAGGAAGGTTAGAGAACTGGGATAATAAGGAACTTGCCTGTGCTCACTGGTTAGCTGGTTAGTACCTTTCCTTGTGGATGAGTAAAATGAGTTCTGATGGGCTACTTTATTTGTGGTTTGAATACTAATCTACTTTTTGAGATGACGAGATGTGCAAAGAAGATATTCATCCCAAAATATTTCCTTTACCCGGCTGCCTGGGATACCTCCATGAGAGAACTGGCGGCCCTCCCTCCACCCAAGTTCTCATTAAAAAAATATAAATACTCCTATAGAGTTTATCAGATGATGGATACTAGGGCTGCATTCTCTTTTTTTTTTTTTTGAGACAGAGTCTCAATCTGTTGCCGGGCTAGAGTATCATGGCATCAGCCTAGTTCACAGCAACCTCAAACTCCTGGGCTCAAGCGATCCTCCTGCCTCAGTCTCCCGAGTAGTTGGGACTACAGGCATGCGCCACCATGCCCGGCTAATGTTTTTCTATATATATTTTTAGTTAGCCAATCAATTTCTTTCTATTTATAGTAGAGACAGGGTCTCACTCAAGAGTGAGGCTGGTTTCGAACTTCTGACCTTGAGCGATTCTCCCGCCTCAGCCTCCCAGAGAGCTAGGATTACAGGTGTGAGCCACCACACCTGGCCTGCACTCTCTAAAATGATACAGCCAATGTGGCTACTGAGCAGTGGAAATATGTCTAGTCTGAAATGAGCTATGCTGTAACTGCAACATAAATATCAGATTTTGAAGACTCATTATAAAAAGAAGAATGTAAAATATCTTGCTGATTTTATATTGATTACATGTTCAAAAGATAGTATTTTGAATGCCTTGGGTTTATAAAATATCGAATTAATTTCACTGGTTTCTTTTTACCTTTTTCAATGTGGCTTTTAGAAAATTTACAATGCCATACATGGTTTACACTGTGTTTCTATTGGACTGCACTGCACTAGAATGACTGTTGACTTCTCTGATCTGACTTTCTTCAGAACTCAAGATACAGAGGGCCAAGGGCTCACTCTCCCAGAGGAGAGTAGCTTTCTAAGAGGGTGGTGAGGCCAAGCCAATCTTTCTGGCTTCCCATGCATGCCGAGCCCTGCTATTCTCACTACCCCAGCCTGACATTACTTTGCTTTACAGCAAAAAGTTTTCCAGGGAGATCAGGGAAGAGCTGGTCTTTGGAAAGAAGATAAAGGTAAAACCATTTGCACAGGGGAAAACTGAGGCAAAGAGTGAGCCAATGGTTCCCAAGAGGACACTCAAGCCTGAGCAGAAAGGACATGGGCTTAGGGAGCGATGGGCATCCTGGGTTCAAATCCTAGCCACACCATTTGCTGCCCAGATGACCTTGGAAACATAACCTCTCTGGGCCTCAGTTTTTGAATCTGTTAAATGAAGATAATTCTTATTTTACAGGGCTGTTTGTTGAGAGAACATCAATAAAGGCACATCAGGCCCTGTGTCCGGTTTGTAACAGAATTTCAATAAATGTTGATCTCTCTTTCCCCTTCCTCTAACAGCAAATCCTGTGTTTTAATTAAGCAGGTTACTTTGATTAAAGTTACTGGAAGCCTGGAGAAAATAAGAAGGTCTTTGGAATGTCTACACGTACACTTGGCAGAAAAAGGCTCAAAATTGTCTTTTGTTGTTCCGTAAGAGTTTTAAAAATAAATTTCCAAATGTACAATAGACATAGGCACAACAGAAATAAATGAAAACACAATTAATAAATTTGACAACTGCCTTTCTATGCAGCAGATGTTGGCATACAGCATTTGCGTTTTAGGTCCAACATTAGTGACATTCACACCATCTTATGAGCAAACACAGACTGGGTAGGGCCCACTATTCCCAACAGTGATACAAAAGCTGAAAAGGCTCTTTTTGGGGGGCAGAGAAGATTGCTTTTTGCATGGCTCATTGCCTCTACTTATTCCTTTAATGCACAACTAGTAAGAAAAGCATGATGAGATTCTTACCAACAAACCATCCATCATCACATTTTTCCATGACATCAACGATATCTCCATCTCGGAGTTCCAATTCATCATCATTCTGGGGTATATAGCTATATAATGCTTGGTAGCTAAATCTATACATGAGAAAAATGAATAATGAGTGATCAAACACTGTCAGGATTAAATAATGACTTTTAAAACCGCATTTCAGTTAAATCAACATTTAGTAGTATTCCCCACTCATCAGCAGGGATAAAAGTATTTTATTGGCTATTTCTCTGATAACTTAGCATTTGAAGAGATACATTCAACATATGATAAGTTAATTAAGATTGACAGGGATAGGGAACTTCTGATAAGCACATCATGATCAGTGTTCTTATCTACTTTCACTTGGTTACCATAGCCAAGATTTTTTGTCTAGGGCACCCCCTATCCACTGCCTTTAAAGTAAACTAAGCTTTTTCTTAACATAGGATCATACATGTAGACTATCAAGAATAATCAGAAGTTACGTAGGCCCAGAGACATTACATTCTGGTCATATACACTGGAGAACATAGGCAATTATAAATATATATATATACACACACACATACCCACACGCACATATATATACATAAAAATATATACATATAGTACATTCCAAGTGCCTCGCTGTTTAGCAAAACTACCTTGAGTTTTTCTACATGCCACTTAAACACATTTCATTAACTCCTTTTTATTTTTAAAGAGACAGAGTTCCACTTTGTTACCGGGGCTGGAATGCAGTGGTGCGATCGGAGCTCACTGCAACTTTGAACTCTTGGGCTCAAGTGATCCTCCTGCCTCAGCCTCCTGAGTACTCAGGACTATAGGCACACACCACCACACTCAGCTAAATTTTCTTATTTTTTGTAGAGATAGGGTCTCGAAATGTTGCCCAGGCTGGTCTTAAACTCGTGTCGTCAAGGGATCCTCCAGCCTTGGCCTCCCAAAGTGCTGGGATTATAGGCATGGGCCACTGTACCCGGTGGCCGCATCGACTACTTTTAAATTTGGATATCATTTTTCTGAAACCCTTGAATCTTTTTGCTTTTTTCCTATCCCAGTGAGTTTGGGGGTAAAAGTTTTATTTACTTGCTAGTTGGCCTGAGGCATTAGGTCTAAGTTGTTGTTCTGTTTTAACAACAGCCGCTGGAAACAGCTGGACTGCCGTGGTGAAATGTGATACCTGCTTTGGCATCAAGGAAAAGCTTTGTTTTTATTCCTTTAACAAATTCGTGAGGACACCTACTGTGCACCAACTTCACAATTCTGTTTACTCAGTATTTTGAAACACAACCATAGCAGGCAAAACTTTGCAAATGAGCCAGTTATCTACCATTTCCAGTAGGTATCAGTGAATTACAGAGTGTGGGCAAGAGAGACTAGAAACAAGGGGTTCATTCTGCTCTGCTAAAATCAAAGGGACGGTTTCACTTTACATATTTATGCAATTGTATTGATACTTCTGGCCACCAAAAGGAAGATCTCTTATGAGGAGTTAAGAGATGCAGATCAATTTCCAGCTGATAAATGATTACGTTGTTTTCACGTTTCTATATCAGCTTGCTGTCTCCTATGCAATTTGGATTCCTATGGCCGGCCTTCCAACACACGCCCTCACCGGTATCTCAGAACGCCTAGTCCCCTTGACTTCTACCATGGCTGCTTTGTTAGTTTTGGCTCTGGGAAACAACTTCTGATGTCTGCTTCTGTTTTCACTCCCAGACAGTGGAGACTGGCTGAAGAAAGTCCTTCACCCTTGCCACTTGGGTTCCCCAGTCAGCTCTAACTTTGGACGGGCCTCACACTGTGCCATGGAGTCCTTCCTCCACTTCTCCTGCCGATTCTGGTGCCCCACACCCAGCTGAGGGCTCTTCATTCTGTCCCCACTGCTGGAGATGGAAGCCTGCTGTGGGCAGCACCTTAACCTTCCCACCTCCAGAGGTCTTTGGACCTCTACTCACCTCCCTGCCACTGTTCTCACATGTGAAGAAAGAGCAGTCTCTTCTAGCCATGTTGAACCTCCCTCCCTGGGCTCTTCCTTCACTTACTAAATCTTCTCATTTGCATCTTTCAACTATCAACTCCTCCTACTCTGGTGCAAATGTGCTTAAGTCTCTGCACCCAATGCCCAACCCCCTGCACTCACCATCAGACTTACTCTACAACCCTTTCTAATGCAGCATCTGCCACCAGCTCTCTGCTAACACTGCCATATCACAGGTCGCCAGTGACCTTTCCAGTTGCCAAGGAGAATGCCTGGTTCCTACACCTGGCCTCTCTGGAGTAGGCGGGGCTGCCGACTGGACACTGAGGCTCTGTTCTGTGAAAGCAAAAGCTCCTGGACCCCCACCTGCATCTCCTGCTCAGCCTCTTTTGCCGGCTCCTCTTCATTGCCCGGCATCTCCATGGGTAATCACATGCACTTCATGGTTACAAAATGCCCATTCGGTCCCTGCTCTGGCCCTCATCACTTCTCTGCTGGATTAATATCTTCTAACCAACAGCTTTATCCCTCATCTCTGAAATCCATCCTCCATTGTGCTGCCAGAGTTACCTAAGACAATCTGTTGTCAATATGTTCCTCGCTTCACAAACCTTCAGTAGCTCCCTAGTGCCTGCAGAATAAAATCCAAACTTATTTCACCTGCATTTTGGAATCTACCATCTGGTCCCAACCTGCCTCTTGAGTCTCTATCTCCTCCGTGAACCACAGGCTGTGGCCACATGGGCTTCTTCAAGATCTCCAACCACCACCCACTTCACGCCTTTGCATATGCAGTCCCCCCAGCTGGGAAGAACTCTTCCTCCCTGTTCTAGCTCTCGAAATCCAATTTGTCTTTCCATGCATGGTCCAAATCACCCTTCCTCTGTGAACAGAGTTTTCTCCAATGTACTTAAAAAATAGGAGGTATCTAGTCAATTTTTTGAATGAATGAATAAATCAACCTTGCTCATTCATTTTTGATCAGAATTAACTGCTCCTTCCTCTCTGCCCCTACAACGACAGGCCTGAAGCCAGTCGGCACAGCTCTCGTCCACCTTCTATGGCAGTTGACTCTTCACCTCTCTCTTCCAGCAGTCCACGACCTCCTCTATTTAGCCACCACCTGTTTTCACATTGGCTGATGGGAAATACGGTCCTAACTGGAGAAGCTGGCAGTGAGTCACTCATCCCCCACCCCCCCAACGACTGCCCCTGCAGTCAGCCGATGACCCGCTTTCTAAGGCCAACAGTCCCCCCAAGAACATTGAGAATCAAAGTTCGCTGAGGATACTTACAAATCTTGTGAGGTTTGACTCCTGTCTGGGGTGACTCTTCGCTGCTGGGCTTGAGGTTGCTGAGAAATGATTAAAGATGATTTATTGTCAGAAGGGGATACCTTGTGATGAAAGTCAAGGGGATGAGAAACAGTGCTGCAGTAATGAACAGATTTTTCGGCAATGTTTATGATCTCATTGCAAACTGCTTCCTGTGAGGTGGCCCCGAGAGATCCAGAAACCCCCAGAAAACAGTCAACGTGGGGACAAAAAAATAAAAAGAAAGAGAGGAAGAGATGTAACATTCCAGATGAAGCACATAAGTCCAAGGAAAAAACAGAGTTGAAGATCCAGGTTAAAAAAAAATAGATATTCCAGTAGTGGAGTGCAGGAGGGATCCAGGCGTAAGCATGAAAAAACAGGTAAGATACAGAAGAATTTGGGATTTAGTATGAATATTAAAAAAAAACAAAAGGTAGCAGCACAACAGCCTGTAATTAGTGAGTAACTGTTACGAATAGGATAATATCAGGGTAGAAATGCAAGTACATATTCCCCATCATGCACTAATACATTCATTTAATCCCACATGTAGGCAGAGTAGAAATATTATCTCTAAATTCCTCTGCTTTTCTTTTTGAGGGCGGGGGCTGGCCTAACATCTCTCTCTACTACAGCAGCCACAGAACTCTTGTAAACAATGGCTCTGTGAGTTAACCCGGCATTACTCTAGTCTGGACTCTAGAAGTCAGTAAGGATTCTCTTTAGAAAAGCCGCAGTCTTATTCAACAGGCATCTTACCACATAGCTCTTTTCAGATTCTGTGAGATCAGGTCCTGCTCTCAATGAATGATGAGAAGGCTGTGATCACCAAGCAAATTATAAGGGAGACATTTTAGCAGATGTCACATTGGAAAGGATTCAAAATAAAAGTGTGAGCAAATACACGTACCACACCGTGACACTTGGATGACACTGGAGACTCGCAGCCTATGGCCGCGGAGTTTCCACAACAACATGGTGGGCGTACAGGAGAAAATGCAAACGCACAGGGTTAGAGGCAAGCATCTAGGCAATGAAATGGAAGTTGGAAACATGGCTGCAGTGAAGTGAGGAGGAACACCACAGGGTCCCCAGGAGGAGACACGGAAGGGCTACTGTAGGAAGAGTCAAGTCCCTCCATAAGCCACACACGTTGGTCCCCACACCCTCAGCCAGCAAGCACTAGGGAAGGCCGCTGTACCAAGAGCCAGTGTCAGTTACTTTGTGCACTGGAAGCCCTCTCTGGAAGAGCAGGCTCATAGCACTAGCAGGTCTGCCGTACTTCCACACTTATGAAATAACCGAAAAAGAGAGTAACGCTTTTGAAAAACCCCCTGGTAATATTTGAGTATCAACCAAGACCGTTCCCCTGGAAAAGTCTGCACACGACACACTCCAGTGAGGTAGGAGGCAGGTTCAGAGAGCTTGCAGGGCAGAGCTCGCTTCCAGAAACAGGACTGTGTGTCCTGACACAGACGTAGAGACGACGCCAGCACTCTCCCCTCAACAGCCCAGGTCCCACACCTGACACAGAGACACGGGTGCAACCACAGCCAAGCAGACCTGCCTCTCAACTGGGGCTCCCATCGTAGAGGCCAGGCCTTCATTGGCAGAGTGTCTGGAATCATTTCCCCCAGAGAGGACTCAATTCCAAGCTCTAGGAAACCTAAGCAAATATTTGAAGAGCCACCCTCAAAGAGACTCTCTAGGTAACCTGTAATAACAGCAACAGGCCACAGCAACAAGGGCACTTAGGAATCTTGTGTGTGTGACCCACTTGCTTCACAGAGAGGCACAGAGAGAGGGAGGGCCTCCCACGAGGTCACACAATGAGTCAGTGGTGGCCTTGTCCTCCTGGCTTCACCTACTATCCCACTGACCTTGTCTTTCACCCTCAGCCCACCTTCCACCTCATCAAGTGTCCTCACTGACCTCGTGCATCTTTAATGAGTCCCACAGAAACCCTGGAGACAGGCAGGACACGGCTTATCATCCTGTTTTCTTTCTTTATTTTTTTTTTGAGATCGAGTCTCGCTTTGTTGCCCAGGCTAGAGTGAGTGCCGTGGCGTCAGCCTAGCTCACAGCAACCTCAAACTCCTGGGCTCAAGCGATCCTGCTGCCTCAGCCTCCCGAGTAGCTGGGACTACAGGCATGCACCACCATGCCCGGCTAATTTTTTCTCTATATATTAGTTGGCCAATTAATTTCTTTCTGTTTATAGTAGAGACGGGGTCTTGCTCTTGCTCAGGCTGGTTTCGAACTCCTGATCTTGAGCAATCTGCCCACCTCAGCCTCCCAGAGAGCTAGGATTACAGGCGTGAGCCACCTCGCCCGGCCATCCTGTTTTCTTTAAAAACCCGGGAAGCTGATGCTCTGATGCTCAGAGGGTTTAGGGCATTCCTCAACATCGCAGCTAGTGAGAGGTAGGACTGCCTGGTTGACCTTCCCACTCCACTGGACACCCACCCCCGAGCGCCCGCCAGTCCATCTGCACTGTCAGTGTCCTCATCCTTTAGCATGTGCTACAGGGCCAATTTCCATCCCAGGCATGACTCCTGTCCTTTTGGAAAGTCCCTTCAAGTTCTCCAAACTGCAATCCCTCAAACCAGTGCCCTTAGACTCTGGCAGGAGTGAAGGAAGAGACAGGACTGAGCGGCCCGTCACAGGCTCCTTCTGCAGTGTCCCAGGACCTCAGGCCTTTGCCAGGTGGCTGGGAGGCGACCTTGTGTGGCTCTGCTCACCACCACCACCCTCTGGATCAAGGCTCCCAGCTAACCAAGGAAAGAAATGAACATTTCCAAGCACCTACCATGTGGGCTTTCAGAAGAATGAGTCTTATTCTGGGCACCTTGAGTGTGTGATAGTGATAGGCAGGTTTTACCCTGACAGAAGGGAAAAGTTTCTAAAGTGAGAATGGTCCAAAAAGACAAGGGAGGAAGTGAGCAGCCTGCCACAGCAGTTGTGTAAGCTGAGGCTGCTGTTGACTATTACTAGTTGGGATACTGCGGAGCAGCAGCATGGTTGTACAAGACCTCATTTATCACTACACTGAAATTCTTTGACTAAAGTATGCCAAGGCTGATCTGGGTCACACCTCATGAAAACAAAAGTTCTCATAAAAAAGCAAAATATTTCCAAACTCCAGCTGGTGGCCTCATGACCTCAGGTCAAACTCAGTACAAAGAGAGGATGTGGACAATCTCTTGGCATGATCTCTACAGCTTACAGAAACCCCCTAACATCCTTCAGTCGATTTAATCTCAAAGGAGTGACTGGAATTGATCATGGAGCAAATAATTTGGTGCCCAAAGAGGATCAGTGACAGTCTGGGCAACACAGTGAGACGCTGTGTCTACAAAAAATAATTTAGCCAGATGGTGACACATATCTATAGTCCTAGCTAGTTGGGAGGCTGAGATGGGAAGATCACTTGAGCCCAGGAGTTTGAGGTTCCAGTGAGCTATGATGATGCCACTGTACTCTATCCCGGGCGACAGAGCAAGACTCTGCCTCAAAAAAGGAAAGAAAAGAAAAGAAAGAAAGATGATTAGTGAATCCAATACAGTAAGAAGAACTTGCTATTTTACAAGCACATATAGGTCTGTTTCTTCAGCTGACTTTTGTACTAATCCTTTGACTTGACTTAAGGAGGCCAGGATAGGGAATTTTAAGGCTCAGAGAGGACTGAAGACTCACGCACAAGGTGGCAAAGCCACTGAGTGTGACAGCAGAGTCCTTTGGTATCTAATTCCCATATATCACCTCCCTCTGGGGTGTGATGGAATTCCTGGTGTAACCATGACAGCAACATCCAATTTCTGCCTATTCTGAAAGCAGGCACTATAATTTCTCTTCTTGAGTACTTTTAACACTAGGCATTCAAAGACATCTCATTATGTAAAAGGTATGGTGTGCAGTAATAGCAACCAATCATTAACCCAAGCAACCACAGTGCTGGAAAGGATACTGAAGGTCCAGCTATACCTTCCTTGGTCTCAGGCCAGGCCCAGTGCAGAGGATAACCATCACCATAGCCTTAACATCTGGACAGTACAGACTTGACCCCATTCCTGAGAGGCAGGGACGACTGGCTTCCTCACTTAGCATTTGTTGACTAAATGAAGGAAGAAGGCAAGATAAACATTTATCCTACTAGCTAAGATTTCATTTTTTTCTCTATTTAGTTTTAAATAAAATATCTCATATAGCTGACATGTAAACCAGCTTTTTGGGGAGGGGGGAGGGGGAGGGGACACAGCATGGGGCAGGCTCTCAGTGGAGATAGAAACAGTAATTAAACATCACAAGTGGTCAGCCCTTCACTTTGAAGGCTGTTTAGCTTCAGGCTTGTTTTCTCTTCCAGGCACATGTTTTTTCTTTTCCTGGCCTCATTTTCTAGCCTCATTTTACAACTTTATACAGCACTTCCCCTAAACCTGTGCTGTCCAATATAGTAGCCAGTAGCCAAATGTGGCCATTGAGCACCTGAGATCTGGCTAATAGGAAGTGAAATGTGCTATAAGTGTAAACATACACACTGTATTTAGAAAATAGTATAAAATAAAAAATGTAAAATCTTAGGAATAATTTTCTAGATATATTGGGTTAAATAAGATATATTATTAAAATTAATTTCACCTGTTTCATTTTCCTGTGGTTACTAGAAAATTTTAAACTACACATGTGTCCCAAATGATGTTTCTACTGGACAGTGCCACTCTCAACCCTTCCCAGGCCCTCATGTCTGACTTGATTTAAGCCTAAGAGAAGACATAAGTTCTAACCAGGACTTCATCCAGAGTTATGAATAAAAGAAGTACTATCTCATGCTGAGGACATTTCAGACTCTGGAGAGGCATTCCAGATGCATTTTTCATGTGTTCACAAAAACAACCTTGCCCAACACTTGCACACACTCTCGCATAAACCACTATACCCCCCTCCCCCATCAACAGCAAGCAGGCAATAGTTGCTGATCCAGAAACTTACTTTCTTCTGTAGTTGCATACAAGTTGCTCCTCTTGGCCTGGGGTGCTTGTTTCATTCTCCCCATGTGGCAGACCCTGCATGCATCCTTGCTCTGATGCCCTGTTGCCCTTCTACCCTCAGATCACAGAAGTCCCTTGGAAATCTGATCTCAGCCTCCTGGAGCTGTTAATCCCTCTGGATCCACAGAACACTGGCATTACCGTGGAGTTCCTAAGCATCCTCTTCCAGCTTTGGGTAGGTGCCAAAGCCTTGAAGCCCAAAATAAATTACACACAGGCTAAAGGACAGCAGGAAGTCCTGGAGATGTGGACAGGATGGAGAAACTCAACCATTCCATGGCCCCAAATCCCCTCTAGAAATGGCAAGAGTCTCTGCTGCTCCCCAACCTGCCCAAGTCTCGCAGAGATGGCATTCCTTTAGTCATCTCACGCCCCATGTCTTCTCAGACCCCACCCCACCTTTCTGATGACCTCCCTGACTCCCCAGTGGGACAGGGACAAAATCTGGGTTCCAGGTCAGGCTCTGGCATTGATTGTCTTTTGAGCAAAATGCTTAACTTCTTTGGTCTTTAAGTTCTAAAGTACATAAGAGAATTAGACATAACTTACATAAATGTTCCTTTTGGCCCCAACGCTCTATGATTGGAGTGTGCTCAACCTATGAGTTGAGAATCAGGACTGGATAGGGCTGACTTGCCTAAAGGAAGGTGGCACACCACTTGTTGCCGACTGAAGACTGGAAGGGGGAGGGCTTTTGATAGCAGTTTCTAGATACCAATGGAGAGTTCACTTCTGGAAATATCCCAAGTGGTTACCCTAGGATAGTGATAG